CCCATGTTGATGTGCCCCCTGAGAAATCATATCGTATGCCCATCATGTCGTTAAGATACACCACTTTAAATAGACGAACAATCAAAGTGCTTAGCGTGTGTGAGAGGAACACTGGCTTCGTGGTGGATTCCTCCGCCTGTTCTATTTCACGAAATACTCACATTCTTCTCGAAGACCGTTTCAATTTCCCAACGATATTGTATTCGTAGGTGGTGACGTGTTCGATTCCCGTTGTGGTTCTCGTAGCCGGCTATTTCAGCGACACCAATAAGGCAAACATACCAGAATCTACAGCTGCTTGCTACGCTGCGTCGCGCTTGATCTAAACGCCCACACCTTTCACTCCGTTTTTTTTTCGTTACAACTTGTGTGCTGATTTTATCGAGACACATCATTCGTACAATTAATTTTGTTGTTGCTTATGATTAGTAAAAAAAAATTATAGATTCAGAGCCTTAGGTGACATTGGAATCTTTTGAGATCCACTTTTACGTGATTGTCACTGCTTTTTCATATAACTCTGTTCTAGAGTTCGTTGACAAAACAAAAACCTTTTGAAATTTTTTCTATAAATTTCTTTGAACCCGTCAAACCTTAACAATAACATCAAAGTGTCTACCATAACATTTCTTTATATTCTAGGTATATCACCGTTTCCTTCTGTTGAGAGTCAGCAGGCTCTCACTTTGAGACACATGGTACGCTCACACACATTGAGGGTGTATGTGACTATCAGCCCCCCAGCTGTCGATGTGTCGTGGTTTCCCCGCCCGAAACTGCACGGGGTTAGAGTACAGGGCCGTGGGAAAGTCTAATTCGTCCATGCTCCCCAAAATGCAACTTGCGGCGCAGACTCCCTTTATGCTAACAGCCGTCCGCGCGGCGCGTGTCGCGCGCAGCTCTCTTGGCTTTTTGCCAAGTCCTGTAATTGCGCTCTGGAATACAAGTAAAACGCAATTTCCTGATGCGGATAACATTTTAGGTGCTGCAAAATAAGAACCGAAGATGATGACGAGGGCCAGAACTCAAGAGCAACTGTGCTGCTTCTGCAATATCCCTCGGAGGCCGCGCATTCCCACAAAACATGAAAATAAAAACGGCCTAAGCTCCCACTCGTTAGTTTAAAGTATTTCTATGGCTTTGGAGCCGAATTCGCGCCGGATCGCAGAAATTTACACGCGATTTTAATTAATTTGCGTTTCCTTAATTTTTCATTTTTGTTTTATTTACATCTACATTCGTTGTTCTTCATTTCTAGCCTTTGTCATCTTCATCACCTTCTATTCGGACTTTGCATGAGCAACACCTCAAATGTTATTCGCATCAGGAAATTGCGTTTTGCTTGTATTAAACTAACGAGTGGAATGCTTAGGCCCTTTTTATTGTCTAAGCCAGCCACATTTAAGCCCTGTCGTCCGGCCGTGCAGCGGCTCGAGCGCCTCCTCCCGCCGAATTCATATTGGACTGCTTCTTCCTAATACTACTGTTGTAATCCTTGAAAGTGCAGGAGCTCGACGAGGTTGAATAGGTTTATTCCGAAGGCGATGAGCAATAACAGAATGAACCATACTCAATGACTGGTCTTATATACGGCCAGTATAGGATGTTGATCAGGGATACCAGTGATCTAGTATCACCCTCACAACACCTCCCTCCTAAGACAAACATTAGATGTGTATGTCTTCTTCTTCGGATTGATTTGCAAGTCGAACTGGCGGGCGTCTTGACCGTTTCTGTCGAGCGGGTTGAGCAGGCGGATCGGCATCTTGGATCGGCATTTGGTCCCTGTTCAACACAGCATCGTTTTCTTGTACGAGTTCCCTGGCGCTCACATTTGGAAGCGGTGGTAAATCGAATGCATCCATAAGCGATGTCGATTTGGCTGGGCAGGTTGCGGGCCGGGTGACTTGGCGTGTATTCTTCAGAGATGATCCCTGCGACTGACAGCAATATAGACACTGTCCATGTTGGAGTTTCACTCGGCCTTGTGTCCACCTCAGGTATCCAGCACGGTAATCGCGAATCCACACAAGGCTTGAACCTTCTTGGCTTTGCTCCGTGATGAACATTGAATTGAGTTTCCATCTTCTGATTTCTTCTCGGTTCTGACCTTGATTCCGACGGTTCCAGCAATGTGATTTTAGAGCGTAAACGTCTTCCGAGAAAACTTCGGCTGGTGACAGTCCGCACAATGTTGGGCATGGTGTTCTGCGGTAGTTGAACAGGAACATTTGTAAAGGTTCTTTGGTTGTCCTTCCCCCTTTGAGTTTTCTGGGCGTCCAGCGCTTCAATGTATCTACGACGCGTTTCAGCTTGGCCATTGGATTGTGAGTGAAATGGTAGTGAACGAACATGTTTGATTCCATTCTGCAAACAGAATTCCTTGTTATCACAAGAATGCTGAGTTGTGGGCAAAAGTCGTGCCCCAGGCGGGAGTCGAACCCGCACCTCACGCTTTCCGGGCGAGTGCGCTATCCGTTACGCCACCAGGGCCGCTTTTACCCTCTCAGCTTAACGGCTTTTATGCCGTAGCCTATCAGCACTCACACGTTTAACTTGGTGAGCCGGTCAGCCGTAATCGATGGGATATCGGCATGAAACCGCGAGGCCTAAGGCTTTAGATGTTTTTGAAGCTGTTTTGTTATGATAACTGCTGTTTAACGCCGCAGTACGCGTTCCGAATGTTATCACAAGAATGCTGAGTTGTGGGCAAAAGTCACCAAGTTAAACGTGTGAGTGCTGATAGGCTACGGCATAAAAGCCGTTAAGCTGAGAGGGTAAAAGCGGCCCTGGTGGCGTAACGGATAGCGCACTCGCCCGGAAAGCGTGAGGTGCGGGTTCGACTCCCGCCTGGGGCACGACTTTTGCCCACAACTCAGCATTCTTGTGATAACATTCGGAACGCGTACTGCGGCGTTAAACAGCAGTTATCATAACAAAACAGCTTCAGAATTCCTTGAATGCTCTTTCACGCGCGCCGCGCGGACGGCTGTTAGTATAAAGGGAGTCTGCGCCGTCAGGTGCATTTTCGTGAATGATGTCCCTTGTCAGTGACGAAAGTTTCCGGGTAGCCAAATTGTGAGAATAATCGTTGGAGTTCCTTGATTGTTGAGCGAGATGTCGTGGATGACGTTTCAATAATCTCTGGCCACTTTGAGCAGGCGTCTACGAGTACAAGAAACATTCTTCCATCAACTGCAAAGTCAGCATGAACGCGGTTCCATGGCTTCTCTTCTGTAGGCCACGAGGAAAGGTGTAGTCTTGATGGGGTTCTTGGCCATTTGCTGGCAACGGATACAAGAGTTCACTTGTCTTCGATATCCTTGTCGATGTATGTACAGTAGCAATAGTCTCTGACCAGCATCTTCATTCAGTCT